CACTGCCCCTTCTTAGTCCCCAAGCCACTCAGCCCCCAGCGGTAACGTACCCTCCATTCCCGGCTTTACCCTGCTCCGCCCATCCCTAACCCAATCCCCACCGCATCCGCCGACGCTCCTGCAGACTGCCCGATGTGAAGGCGGGTCAGGCACACCGGCTGTGTGAGGCCGTGGTGGCCTTTCTGAGGGAGCGGGGCTTCAAGCATCCCGAGGTGTGGGTGGGTGGGGAAGAGAACAATACACATGCATGGAGGCAACCATCATCTGAGGTGTGCGGTCGGGCTGGTGCGGGCACGTGCGTGTTTATTAAACTATGGCCTCTCCACTCTCCTCTGTACGCTATGTTTGCCCTTCCCCCTCTTTCTGTCTGTAAGTCTCTATCTAGCTTTTCCAGCGGGCACACACGCCCTTTTCCCAAAACCCTCTCCCCCCCCCCCCCCCACCCCCCTTCAGTCCATCCCCCTGGTTCTCTGCGGCGATTGGAATTCCCGCTGGGCCCAGTTCCGGAGCGACCGGTTCGACCGCATCCCGGCACCCGCTCCCGGAGGGCCCCTCTGCCTGGTCAGTGGTGTGCATGAGCTGCTGACCCGTGGGTCACTGGACGCCAGCCACCCGCACCACCCGGCCAGGTGAGATGAGGGATAGCTAGCTAGCTAGCTAGGTTGGAGGAGATGGGAGAGGAGAGAGATGGGAGAAAGAGAAGGCAGCAGTGTTGTGAAATGCGAGAAGTAGATGTGTAGGGTGGGTGGACCGTCAGCCAAGTTGTGCTTACTTAGATACGAACTTTATATGTGTATGTACCCCACATATTCCCCCTCTCCAACTTGCCCATCTTACCCCATCCACTCCCCCGCTCAGTCGTCGCGGCGGCGGCAGTAGCAGTAGCAGCAGCAGCGGCGGCGGCGAGGTGCGGCTGCACACGTCAGGTGGGCCCCATGGTGATGACGAGTGAGTGGCCATCAATTTGGCCCTACCTTACAACTCTATCGGTTCCTGAGTGGTTGAGAGCGTTGGGCTATATGACAGCTGTATATCGCCGTGTCACCGCTGCCCTGGCGGCTGTGCGCTGTGTCACACATGTGTAGGCATGTGTGCTATGAAACCTGGCCGCGAGTAGGAATGTGTCTGTGTGTGTTTGCTGCATGTCTTGTACCCTCCATTACTCTCAGGTTTGCAGCTGGTGAGCTCTCAGTTGGTCGCCAGCGGCCGGGAGCCGCCGGCAACCGTCCTAGCGGAGAGCTTCCGAGGTGGGGTTCGTGGGGTGGCCTCAACCTAATCGAACATGTACGGTTCTGTACTTCTCTTGAGTCGCGGGGGGGGGGCTGCCGCCAACGGGGACGAATGTAGTGCAGTGCAATGCGTGTTCCTTACTTGCAGCTGAATGGAAAGTGGAACAGCGCCCGGACAGGCAGGTATGGGGAGCTGCATGCATGCATCCATGCATGCATGCGTGATGTCTTACTGGAAGGCGGGCCGTGTGGGGAAGGCGAGGCTGCTGCCAGACCCCTCCGCCCCTCCTCCTTCCCCACCCTCCCACTACAGGCTGTCTGGACTACATTTGGTTGTCCCGGGGCCACTGGCACGTAACCGCCACAATGCAATTGCCGTACAGGTGGGGGGGAGTGGGGAAGGGGCTGGGGGAGTGGGCAGGTAGCAAGCGGAAGGGTAGGGAGGTAGGTAACCGGGAAGCACCCCCCAGCGCTCCACCCCATTTGCTGTACTTCCCAACGCACCGCTCCACACCTTACGCATACCGGCACACGCAAACGCCCAGGTACGACACACCACCTTGCACATACACACGCCCAGGTACGACACACCACCTTGCACATACACACGCCCAGGTACGACTGGGATCCCCGTACGGACGAGGGCCTCTCCGTACGACAACACTCGCACCCCACCACAAGGGCACCCAGCGCTGCTAGAGCAGCAACACCGGCAGCAGCGAAAGGGGCAGGAGCGGAGATAGCAGCAGGATCAGCAGCGGCAACAGCAGCGGGCGACGGGAGAGAAGACTCACAGCAGCAGGATTCGGCAGGTGACTGGGAGAGTGATGATGATGACGGTGGTAGTGGTAATGGCGGCCGCATACCCCCACCCGCCCAACTGCCCCTCTCCCTGGGCCCCCACCTCCCCCCCGTGTGGGCGCTGCCGCCGCAACCCAATGCGGAGTGGCCCTCCGACCACATCGCGATAGGGGTGGAGATACGCAGGAGGGGGAGGAGAGCGGGGGTAAGGGAGTAAGCTGTTGGCTTGGGTATGGTTACTCTCCTGACCGACAGGCCGTCGCGGACTTTCATCCGTGTGCTTTACCTTTACTGGCATGGCTAGACTTCAAATATTGCTTTGAGCTTTACATCGATTCCTTGAGGAAGGCCGTGCGGTTTGCGCGTTTCTCGGGTTGGAGTGTCAGGGAACCTGGGTTAAAGGGACGTGTATGGTTACTCTCCTGACCTGGGTTAAAGGGACGTAAGAGGCTGGCAAAGGCCCGCTGGGACGACTAATAGAGCCGGTGGGTGCTGCTCTGGATGAAGAGACTGATGACTTGGTTTGGCTGCTTCAGTGATTGGGAGTGCGGGTGATGGTGGAGGTGGTCAGGGATGAATGGGTGACAGCAGGTGCGGACTGACCCATGGGTCTGCCTTGAGGTGAAGGGAGCATAAGAGCACCGCAGCACCTTCAATACACACCATGACATCTAGAACACCTTAAGTCCACCCTGGCACGACCCGCTGCTATCCCTGCTACTAGTACTTCCCCCTCATGATTGCCTCCTCCCCGACAGCATGGGTCGCACAACCGCCTGCAAAACAACACTTACAACTCTTGCATGCATCACCACAGCACACAGCTCCGAACAATGCAAAGAGAAGGTCCGATCCCGAGCAACCGCGAATCCGCGCTGTTGCGTGCAGCGGCAAACCATATGCCAAGTAAACAGGAAGTGGATGCCCATGGCGGATCCCTCACACGTCCGTCCCTTGCACCCTCCCCGTCGCACCGCTTCTTCTTCTTCTTCTTCTTCTTGCTCGCTGCACAGCATTGCACGGAGCTATGGTATGGGGCAGCCCTTGCACCGCACGTCACACATGGCGACATGGACTCTAGAAGTGGTTAGGAAATCACGCGCGCGCGCGTCCCTCCTGCGTCAAACATTAACCACCAAACGCAAAGTATACGTCACGAACCTGCTATAAATCCATACAGCAAACCTGCTTACCCAACTTCACTCCCCACCACCCATCACCCATAACTTCCCATCCTTCCTACCACGCTGTTTCAATGAGCTGCAGTCCTCGCCCCGCCACCGCCACAACCCCAGCACGCCCTCCACCTCCAACCGCCCCCAGCCCCACCCCAGCAGCCCCAACACCACCACCAGCCGCCCCAGCATTCCCTGCAGCAGCCCTAGCAGAAGCAGAAGCAGCTGGTGGCTGCTGCCTTGTCGCCATCGGTGTGGTGCTGATGGTGAGCGCCTGCAGACAGGCCGGCTCCGGAACCTCCACCTGTGTTGCGGCAAGCGGCAGCAACGCCAGCGGCTCCTCACCCGCCCCCACCAAACAACACTCGTTGGGGTCCCCCCAGGGCAGCCCCTCGCTGTTGTCAGGCATCACGTCCCAAGCTGCTGCTAGGGAAGAAGAAGACGAAGAGGAGGCAGCAGAGGTGCGGCGAAGGGTGAAGGTCACAAGCGGGCGATCCTTGCTGTCCGCATCCGCATCGTCTGGAGGAGCTGGTGAGGGAGCAAGCGAGAGCTGCCAGCGCAAGGAGGGAGGATTTCCAGAAGCACCAATATGCTGTCGTACTCCCGGCTCCTCCTCCTCCTTCCCCGCCTCCTCAGCAGTACATGTCCGCTGCTGCTTCTGCTGCTTTTGTCGTACTCGTCGCAACCCCCACATCCGAACCACCTGGTCTAGCCCCGTGCTCATAGCAACCAGCCCTCCTGTCATCGTCGCTGCTGCTGCTGCCCCTGTTGCTACCCCTGTTGCCATTCCTGCTGCCGCCTCCAACCCACCACCTCCACTGCCACCGCCGCACAGTAGTGCCACGCCCCGCAGCGCCGAGGCATGAGCCAGCGGCCGCACCGCCGCTCCTACCAGCTCTACTCGCCAGGAACAGGAAACACAAGGACCGCAGGTGTCGAAGGCACCGCAGGAGCCATGTTCACCATGTTGTGTGTGATAAGCTGAGGAGGAGGAGGAGGTGGTGGTGGTGATGCGCAGGTGTAGGGAGGCAAGCGCCTGGTCGTCACCGCCGCTGACCACCAACAGCTCTTGGCTGGCAGGGTGCGGATGATGCTGCTGATGGTGATGATGATTGTTGCCGCCGCTGCTACTGCTGCTGGTGTTGTCGCAAGCGGCCGAGGGAGGTGACGAGGAGGAGGAGGAGCAAGTTGATGATGGAAGGTATGTGAGCGCCAGGGCATTCACTCCCGACTGGTGAACTCCGCGAATCACCAACACGGGGTGCAGCACCGGCCCAGCACCAGCACCTGCGCTGGCAGCAGCTGCTGCTTCAGCAGCACCTTCTGCGTCGGGCTCTTCCCCAGCGCGCCCAGCAGCACCACGGGTTCTTCCACCTGTGCTGCTGCTGCCACCAGCTGCTGCCGCTCCTGCCGCTGTTAGCCCTGATGGTGCAGCTGCTGCTGCTGCTGCCGGTGTCGCTGCCACCGCTCCTCCTGCTGTCCCCCCTGCGACCGCTGCCACCGCATGCAAGCACCTCGGGATCCACCACAGCGCCACATCCCCCGCCGTGTCACCCGTCACCAGCCAATACCCCGCTCCTCCTCCGCCGCCACCGCCGCCACCGCAGCTCCGCTTCTGCACCCCCTCCTCCTCCACCTTCTCCTGCTTCTTTTCCTCCCCCACCCCTGCTTGTGCCACCTCCACATCCGCCGCTGCTGCCACGTGTGCCATAGCCAGCACCGGGTGCTCATGTCCCCCTCGCAACGCAGCCGCCGGGCGCCACTGCCGACCACCTCCGCTGCTACCACTGCCACCCCCGCTGCTGCTGCCACCCCCGCCGTTGATGTTGTCAGGCGCCAGGGTCCAAGTCAGCAGCTGCAGGGAGGCGTCCGAGGAGGAGACGGAGAGCAGCGCGGTGGAAGGAAAGGAGGCGGAGGTGGAGGAGGGGAAGGTGGTGGAGGAGGGGAAGGCGGAGGTGGGGAAGGAGGAGACGCCTAGGAGGGCCAGAGCGAGGTAGCGCCTGTGGAGGGAGGGTACGGGTGGGAGGGGTGCGGGTCTGTATGTGAGAAAAGTGTGGGGAACAACGTGGTGAACCGCGTGCCAGCAGGCGCTAGGAAACCCTGACACATCCGACAACCACTTAACTGCCGACTAGCAACGCCGCCAACCAGCGGATCCATCCCTTTACTCGCTCTTCAAGTTGTCCTCATCCTGTTCTCACCTGTCCCCGGAGGGTGCCGGCTGGCTCACTCGCAGGGAGCGGGGTCGCAGCCCCTGACGAGGCGGCCGAGTGGATAGCCACCGGCTCTCAACTCGAAGACGCTGCTGCGGCTGCTCTTGTGTATGTTGCTGCTGTGTTTGCTGCTCCATACACCCCACCTGCTGCTGCTGTTGTGCATGCTGTGCTACCACCGCTGCATCCTTCTCTGCCGTACATGTCTCCTGGGGCCCCGCCGCCACCACCTCCTGCTGCTGCTGCTGCCCCCCTCGCGGGCCCCCCTGCAAACACACCAGCCACGCCATCAGCACCTCCTTCACCCCCGCGGATATCACAAGATACGGTGTGTACGGCAGGGCGAAGTGCTGTCGCTGCCGTACGACAGCCACCTCGTTACTGCCGCCCTGTCCACAATCGCCTCCGCCAGCTGCAGCAGTGGAAGCACCCGCAGCAGCAGCAGCAGCGCCGCTGCTACCCAAGAGCTCCATGCTGCTTCCCAAGAGCTCAGCGACTTGCAGCGCCTCCAGCGGACATGCCTCCAGGCACCGCACTGCAGTGCCCGCTGCATGCTCGCCCACCACCGCACCGTCGTCGAAACACAGCGAGTAGGAGGTAGCGGGAGCAGCGGCTGCGGCAGCACTGCGCGTGTTGGGGGTGCCCCCATTGCCACCAGCTGTGGGGGTGGGGTCACAACCAGCAGCGTCAGTGGGTGCTGCTGCTGCCGGTGCTGGTGCTGGTGCTGCGGGTGCTGATGCGGGTGCGGGTACTGGGATAGCCGTAACACGACGAATGCTGCCGTCCTCTGCTCCCGTGAGAATACACAGGGCAGGAGGAAGTGGAGCAGGAGGAGGTGGTGGTTGCTGCGGTGATGATGACGAGGAGGAGGAAGGCGCGGAGGATGTGGATAGTGATAGCTGCGGTGATGAGGATGAGGAGGGCGGGATGTACGACAGCACGCAGGTGGACAAGATCTCCCGGCCGTGGTGTCCCACATGGAGGGAGCGCGGCAGGCGGACAGCAGCAGCAGCAGCAGCCGTGGCGGCTGCGGACGCGTCAGCCTCGGGGGTTCCAGAGTTGGTGGTGGTGGTGGTGGTGATGGGCAAGGCTGCTGCTGGTACTGCCGCTGCTGCTGCTGCTACAGCACTACCTGGCACCCTCCGTACGACATGAATCATCATCGCAGACGCCCCTCCCTCCTCCTTGTTCCCCTTCTCCCTCTCCCCGCCTCCTGCTCCTGCTCCCATGTAAGCCAACGTGACGTCCTCAGCTCCCCCCACTCGCAGCGCGTGTGTACGACGCCACCCCCCGCATCCCGGCACCCGCAGGAGCTCCGAGGCATCTGGGGCCAGCGACACCATCAGGAAATCGGAACCGCGGAAACCAGCAACCAGCGTACCGCCACTGCTGCCTCCTGCTCCGCCGCCGCCGTCTCCTAGGTGGCTGCTACCGCCGATACCACCTAATACACCGGTGCTGCTGCTGCCCCGGGGCTGCGCTGCTGCTGCTGTCGCCGCTGCCGCTGTTGCCTTGTGGGCCCCCGCGTCCAAGCCGTCCAAGGCGAGTTCAATGGAGGCCACTCCCGTACGGCTTACAGTGCCCAAACACTCCAGCCGCACCGGACAACAGCTGCCGCTGCTGTTGGCCACCTGCTGTTGTTGCTGCTGCTGCTGCTGCTGCTGCGCTTCGATACCAGCTACCGTGGCTGTTCCCATGACCACTTGCAAGTCCGCCTCCGTACGCGCACCCTCCGCTCCTGGCAGAGTCTCCGCCCCGGCTCCGGTTGCTGCCATACCAACCAAGCGAGCACCACCAGCAGCAGCACCACCAGCACCAGCAGCACCATCGCCACCAGCAGCACCAGCGGAAGAACCAGCACCAGCAGCAGGGGTGATGGCAGAGCGGCAGCAGCGGTATCGAGCCATCACACCGTCACGTCCCGCTGCCTGGAACACCCCTCCATCACCACCACCGCCGCCGCCCTCCTCCCGCCCATGCACACGCCCCTGCCTGTCAGCTAGCGGCATGGCACGCACCCAGCTCACCGCTGCGGGCCCCACCGCCCCTCTGAACACCGCCACACATGTCAACTGGTACGGCAGCAGCGGAACGCCTGGGCTACCACCGCTGCTGCTGCTGCTGTCTGGGTTGCTGCCCGGACTGCTGCCGCTGCTGCCTAACAACCCTTGATTCGGGAATCCAAAAGCATCAGCGCCAGAAGCTGCATCAGAAGCGCCTGGTACCCCGGTGAGCGCCTTCCACGCCTGCGGGTGCACCCAGAAAGCCAACAGGTTCCCGTGTTGGTCCCCTGCAAGCAACAGACCTCCTGCTGCTGCCGCCTGCTGCCCCCCAGCCTGGCAACTGCTGCTGTTGCTGCTGCTGCTGGCAGGCTGGATGCGACACATGTCACCCACAAGCAACCGACCGCGTAACGGCGAGCGAGCTACTGCAACCAGCTGAGCCGTGGCAGGAGCTGCAGCAGTAGCAGCAGCGGGAGCAGCGGGAGCGGGTACTGCAGCAGCAGCAGCAGTGGGAGGCGGGGGAAGGCGCCAGAGTTTGATTGCTGCCACGTCGCCGCCCACCGTCAGCAGCACCTGCCGACCCGCCGCAGCCACCCACCAGGCGCCGATCACGGCACCCGTGTCCGTGGCTTTCCAGCTGGCGGCTAGATGTACGTCAGCAGGATGAGGAGAAGAAGGAGGAGCTGTGCTTGCGGTTGTGGCTTTCGCCGTATCGCTAGCCGCAGCCGTAGCAGCCCTAGCCGGCATGATGCGAAGCACCGAAACGACGCCGCTCTGGTGCCCCACAGCAAGAAGGGTCGGGCTGCTGCTGCCGCCGCGGCTGCCCAAGCTAGCCAAAGCAGGACCTGCTGCATCTGCACCTTCTCCCACAACAGCTGCAGCAGCAGCAGTTTGTGCAGCTTCCAGCTCTGCCTCCTCCGGCGGCAGGTCGCACACCTGCAGGCATGTGATCGCACCCTGGGCCGCATTGTCGTACAGCCTTTCCCAGTTGCTGCAGCAGCCCTGGCGCTCTCCACCGCTGCTGTCACCCATACTGCTGCTGCTGCTGCTTCCAGCATGCGAGAAGGAGGAGGAGGAGGAGGGTGAAGAGGGCGGAGGTAGCAGCAGCCGGTCCACGCAGCCCGAGTAGGTTCCCGAGAAGAGTGCGGTGGCGGACGTTACCGACGGGCGAGCCGTCGTCCCCTCCGCCTGCAGAGCCAGGCAGCGCACTCCCTCCTCGTCTCTGGCGGCGGCGCCAGGGGGAGCAGCAGCAGCGGCGGGGCTGGAAGAAGGGGGCTTGCGATACGGCCTTGAGAGGGAAAGGAGGAGAGGGAAAGGCGGGCAGAAAGAAGAAGAAAGCCGCCGTAAACCATAACGCCATCTATACACGAATAGTATTTTGGAAGCGAAGAAGGGGACATCCAAGCGCTGCATGCAGAACCCCGCATGAACCGGGTTCCTGTGGTTATTGTCCTTTCCCTAGTGCTTGTTTGCTGTGCCCTATCTTGCGGTTTCATTCGGAACGGACATCTTGTTTCTCTGCGCCCCTTACCTGATCCGTAGGATCTGTGTGGTGCAGCCGCCGCCGCCGATACCGGAGCTACCGATACCTCCACCCAAGCCGCCCAATCCATGCGAAGAGGAGATCAGCCTGGGGACTGCTCTTGTTGATGCCGGCGTCCCTTCTTCTTCCGGCTGCTTGGAAGCCTCCTCCCCCTCCTTCGACGTCAGGACTTGCGGCACTACTCCCCCGCTTGCAGGTGTCTTCTGGTTGGGGGAAAGGAGGCCTGCATGGTGCAGAAGAGCGTCGGGTTTGCAAAGTGCTCAGCGCATCAGCAAACAAGTTATTAATGGCGCTTTGGGTTTCCGTCAAACGGTAACCTACCAGCTGCCCCACTCTTCCCCAACACCATCATCACATTCACTTCATCGCCCCCACCATTCCCCCCAAGGGCCCCAATCCAGTTGCTGCACTTACCATTTACGTTTCCCCCCAAACCCCCAACCTACCAGCAGCGGGCAGCCACTCCTGCAGCGACCACACCCGGATGGATCCATCCGCGCCCGCAGTGGCAAGAACCGCCCCACCCAACCCAGCTTGGTGGGGCCCGAAACCGCGGCAACCGGCGGAAAGGGAGGAGGGGGAGGAAGGGGGAGCCAGCAGCGCACATCGCCATATGCCTCGCCCCCGGTGACCCTGACGTGAAGGGAGAAGCGAGAAGAGAGAGTTGGAGAAAGGAAGAGGAAGCAAAGGCAAAAAGAAAGCGGCAAAGGTGGAATAGGATCGGCTTACTACACAGGGGACTCCCCCGTCCGTGACCCCGCATGAAAGCCAACGTTCCCCGCAATCGAGCCCTCACCCAATCCGAGCCCACAACCTGCATCATGACTGCAACCGGCTCCAAAGCACCCTTCCCCCAATCCTCATGCTCAATCCACACTGAAATCCACACGGCTTCCACCATTGCAACCCACAGCCCACCTGCAGCATCGCCCTAGCCCCCCAGCCCTCCCACCTGCACCCACAGTCACCCACCTGCAACACCGCCATGCACCTGCCCGACTCCGCCTCCCACAGCCTCACACCGCAGTCCTCCGATCCCGTCACAAGCAGCAGCACCGACGAGGAGGAGGAGGAGGGCTGCGGGAGGCCATGCTTGGAACACTCCGCGCGTTTGGAAGCTGGGCAGCAGCTGTTGTTGTTGCCGCTGTTGCTACTAGCATCAGCACCCGTGTTGGCAGCAGCAGCTGAGTGGGCAAGGGTGGTGGTGGTGCTGGCGGTGGTGGCAGGTGCCACCCACAGGGCTTCGCAGCACCACACCCTGGCTGAGTGACCCCAAAGGCTGCGGACGGGCGCCAGGATGGTGGGGCCGGAAGAGGAAGAGGAGCGGCAGGAGGAGGAGGAAGGAGGAGAGCTGAGGGCGGGGGAGGGGGTGGAGAAGCAGGGAAGGGGAAGGGGGGGCAGTTATCGTGGTGGGTTAGTTCACAGGCTTATCGCAAGGCGCTTGCAAGCGTGGGTAGAGGGAAAAGACACCTCTTAATGGAACGTGCTGATGACGGTGCTATGTCCGCTTCCAAGCGGCGCGCCCCAAGCGGGTTCGGGCGGACCTAGAGGCTTCTTCCCCCGCCCG